GCTGAACCTGCTGCATTTGGACTTGGATGGCCCGCACACACTGCACCAGGTTGTTAAACTAGGACTGTCTAACTTCGAGGGGAACCACGGAAGGCTCAGAAAAGGTTGTGCCTACCACTAGGGGGAGTGGGGCGTTCACCCGCGTGGTGCTCGGTGGCGTGGTCAGCGTTGAAACCCCAGTCGTAGTAAGCGGGATGGTGAACTGGCCGATGCAAACTGAAGGGAGTTGGGGTTGTCCCCCGGAGATGTTCATCTCGCTGCTTTGTCCGATGTGACTGGAAGATGCCATTGATTCAGAAGAAGGTTGATGACTGTAAAGAAGAAGATGACTTTTCGATTGATTTCCCATAGATGGCGCTAATTGATGTAGCACGATCTGACTATTCCCTACTGGAGGATGATCTGGCTTCCAGTCGAGCATCGAGCTAGGTAAATCTGCAAGACAACGAATTAGAGAACTTGGGGTGGCTAACCCGGTGAGGTCGCTCCGATGCTTAAGTTAGTAAACTGTGTTGCGAGCTGAAAGTTTTGAGAGCTAGAGAGCTAGAGAGTAGAGAAATCACACGTACTTTGTGTCATTGGGGTTGGTGCCTTTATATAGTTGAGCCCTCGCGGGTTTTGCAGTTTGGTTCTGGGATCTTCGTCATGAGGGGATCCGTTTCCGCTTTAATTGGGGAGTAACGTATCAATTAATAAAGATGATCAATTCTGCCCGGTCCGGGTAGGGAGAAGATTAGGCTTGCCGTTACGCGGCGTGATCCCGTGTGGTTTGGAGTCTGTTGGAGAGACTTCCGGGATCGCTAGGTCGAGCCAAATCACCCTTCATCAATATAAATTAATAATAAATAAAATTATTAAATATTTCAATTTTTTTTGTACATCACATGCATCCCGATAGTATTGCTTATATAAACCATGGTTTTCAAAACCAGACCGGAAAACTGGGAACCGGTCACTTGACGGGTTCCGTTTTCCACCAAAACCTCTTTTTTCCCCAAAATAGTTCGAACGGTTTTGACCATTTTTCAATTTTTTTAATTTTTTAATTTTTTAATTTTTTTTAAATTTTTTCTATCAGAATGAGCCGACCGTTCAGGTCGGTCGGACCATTCGAACCATTAATTGGACCCCTGACCGGTTTGAATGGTCAGGTTGTTTGACCCGAACGGCTGGCCTATTCTGACAAAAAAAATAAAAAAATAAAAAAATGATCAAAATCGTTCGAACGATTAATCAACCAGTTCAATGATTTACTGATCAAAATCAACGATTTTAGAGAAAAATGGAACTACTCCCCGGTTTTTCCGGTCCGGTCCGGTTTGAAAACCATGATATAAACTGTGTGAACGGGACCCACTTCGTAAAGCCAGAATACAATAGAAGCAGCCACGTGAAAGCCTTCCCTGCCAAACGGGGCACTTCATTATTTACCTACTTCCTTGATTCGTGGACTTGCATTTATCGTGTTATTTATTAGTTTCAAGGTTCACCTGCCGGCTGTCACTGCCAAAACGAAACCTACCAGTCAGGTGAGGTCAGGTCATCTCTTGAAGTCTCAACAACAAGATGGTTGTATGGGACCCACATGATTTGCTCCGGCACCGGCAGTAGTCCGGCCTCTCCACCCACCCCATTCCTTCTGCCTCTGAGTCTCTGAGTCATTGCTGGCCTCCCTTTGATCTCTTCGCCCCAATGCCTATCCCTATTCCCTTCCCTTTGCATTTTTCGTGATTCTTCCCGCCTTTTTTTATTGGCCTTGAACAAGAGCAACCACTATGACCCCACAGTTCACAAGTTACTACTCCCCGATTATGAGAGATCACGTAGGTTATCCTTTCTACATTTATTCGGAATCACCAAAATCCCCCAATTAAATTGAATAATTTGTCTGTCTAGAGAGCTCTCTAAGCTAAGGCCTAAGCAATGTTTGTTTTGAATTTTGATAAAAGGGAAGAGAGAAATATATATCAAATTTTATAAGGTATATCACTATATCAGTGTTTACTAACCGTTATTGATGCGGATGGTTGGACCATCGTCTAGGTAATTGTTTCTGTTTTACCTTAAACTTGATTCTTGGCCAAATATTATTGAATTAGTTAATGATCTGTTGATTTGAACAGTTGAATCATCAACCCATTCAATAGTTTTTGACTATTTTCTATTTTAATTATTTTTTATTTGAAATTGACAATCCATTCAAACCGGACTGTCAAACTGTCAACATGAAAACCAGTGATAAAACAGTTTCGATTCTTCGGTTTTTTAAAACCTTGAGTAGACCCTGTCTCACTCCGAATCCGAACCAAAGTCAGTGTAACACAAACCTTATACCCAGCTCTAAATAGAATAGGATTACCGATTTCTGCTCATCCTCTCCCTTCAACAGTGCCCCATTCTTAGCAAATGGTATATTGATAATTTTTCTCAGTGGCACCATTTCAACCGTGGGATCCATGTGGGATGTGAGGGTTCAAGCATTGATACATATACGTATTGGATTTTAGGGTTACTGTAATGCTAAATATTGAGAGAGAGTTGAGGGCCTTTAATATATATGCAATTAAAGCTATTTTCATGGTTTTTAAAACCGACCTGGTGATCAAACTGGTCAGGGGTCTGGTTATCGGGTCGAACGGTCCGACAGTTCAAATCGAACGCTTGACTTGTTCTAACAAGAAAATAAAAAATAGTCAAAACCGTTTGAACGATTAATCGCCCGGTTCAACGGTTTACTGATCAAAATTAACGATTTTGAGAAAAAATCCAATTTTTGGGGAAAATGGAACTAGTCACCGATTCCTGATTTTTTTCCGGTCCGATAATCTGATCCAATTCGGTCTGGTTTTGAAAACCATGGTTATTTTCTAATATATATATATATATATATAGGGCTTGATACTTCACCATGATTGAGGGTGGGAGGGGGGAGACTCAACCTGAACTTGACCCATTACCCAATTAAATCTAACCCGAAGGGCTAAATGGCTGCTTGATAACAATCGAAGTTGTTGAACTGAGGGCTCGTTTGGTTTCCAGTTGGTTTTCAGGGGGGGGATTAGCGAATGATCATTCCTTCAAATAATGTCATTCCACTAAAAATGAGAAATCAATCTCATCAAATCAAAACGGTTGGATTCCCGTTTTGATTGCAAACCCCTATTCCCGCAAACCAAACAGTCGCTCATAGTTTATTTACTTTTATTTTAATAAATAAATAAATTAAATAATAAGACCATTCACAGGTATAACAACCCACCAACATCAGCTTCAGCCATCCCACAACCTCGTTGAAAACTTATTAAAAAAGATAAAAAAAAAACTTTTCAGACACTTCAGCTACTAACTTCTGCCAAATGGCTTCTATTCATAAGGTAGGTTAACCCAGCCCATTAACATCCCTATGGCCTTTTGAAGCATGTGAATGAGCATTTTGAACTTAGAAGTTGAAACCATTAACATCAATTCCCTTCTTCAGTGAAAGAACGAAATCTTTCTTGAAAGCAGAAATTGCCATTTAAATGAAAGAACTGAACTACCGCATTTTTGGTGGATATCATTAGATTTCAAGTCAGGCAACCACTATAGTCTATATATAGCTGGGTGGGTGGTGAAGTTGGAAACGTGGAATAGGAGATCATGTGTATCACAAATCACAACTTGCACATCTTATAAATTTTGTTAGATGATATTATTTTTTTATTTATTTTTATAATAATAAGTATGCACTTCCACCATTACAAACCCTAAATATATACATAGGTAACTACTTAATATAATATTAAACTAAGCTCAGTTCTATATAGCATTTCAATCCTTATATATAAAATTCAATAATAATTCCCATGTTTATGTTTCCTAAGCATTGTTTCAATAGTTAAGCCGGAGATAAAAAACCATTGGTTATTATATACTAAATGGGCATGCTTAGTAGAGAGTTGAATTAGAGTAGTGAGAAGAGACGTAAGTGATCCCAATTCATTGTAACCTATTTCTATTATTAATTTTATTAAACTGCATATTGAACTTTTTCATTGACAGTGTTGGGAACAGAGAATAATCGATTTAGGATCACGACAACCCCCCCATAACAGTAGGATTCACCAAAGAAAGACCCATAGAAGTAGGAAGGTTGCTTTGCTTAATAAGCAGTGTGTAAAATGGTAGATAATCAGATTCATCCATTTACGGGGTGTTTTGCAATCTGAATGTTTTTGTTTTTGCTTGTTTTTGAAATCGCCACGCATCAATAAAATATATAATAGTGTACAAATCATACCATTTGTAAAAATAAGATATTAAATAAGCAAATGAAAACATGTGTTTGAAACCAGAGATTCAAAAAAATGTTTTCATGCTTTTATTTTGAAAAACAATCTATTTTTAAATCAGACGGTTTTGATTTATTTTTCAACCCAACAACAACAAAAACAATTTACCTTGTAGAATGCCCCCTTCCCCTTTTCCCCACCCAAAACGTCTATTTTACCAAAATGTCAATGTGATTGAATTATTTTTATCCATCTAATTTCTAGAGACCTATATTCAGTGCCATTAGATTTGGACTATGGTTGAACCAGTGAACCAGTGCGGTCAGACCTATATCCATCTAATTTCTCTCCCTACCATCCCTCTCTCCATTGGTTGGTTTACTTCTTTCAGACCTGTTTACGGGGGCTGGGCTTCGAGCCTCACTTACATCTTGTCAAAATTGGGCAAAAGTCAAGCTCGAGCCCGGCCCATGAAAAGTTTCTCGATTCTGCATCTCTAAGTGGGGCCAAGGCTTGGTGTCAATCGCAAGATCGTAATGCACATACAATATTAAGAGGGGTATTTTCGTAAATATAAACGAGGGTAATAGAAGTAATGAACAAATGATATGGTTAACTGGAGTAGCATTTCTGTCCTATAATGTGAAAACAAGGGTAATTACGTCAATACAAATACGATATTTAATAACCGAAAAAAAAAAAAAAACAAAATTACTGGTGGGAAAACGAAGTGGAGGGTGGTGGGTAGGGGGGAGGGGTTAGAGATGAAGGATTCCAAAACTTATTCGTTCCCTCTACTACTGCCGTCTCCTAAGATTTGGATCCTCAGAACTGAAAGCCGTTTCTGTAACCGATTCCATATTCTTTGTGGAAACCAAACTCGATTCCGAGGTTCGATCGCTTTGCTTTCCGATCTTAATTTCTTGCACACATGCCATAAGTTTTTAACTGTTTTTTTTTCCTATCGATTTTGCTATTCAGATCAATGGAAGGAGACATCAGACACGACTGATTCCCGCTGGAAAACCTAACTCTTGGAGGTCCTGGTTTGGATTAACCAGTTTCGATGTTCTGTTTCAATTTTGTTGTTATGATGAGATTTTTCCCCCTCTTTTCTTTTATATCTTTCGAGTCCTTTTAAAATGATCTTTGGGTTGAGGGTCCGATGCTATTGTTTTTACTTGATTCTCTTGTGTTGAATCACACTGTTATAGTATTCAGATGATTTATAAAATTTTCCTCTTGGGTCTCGATCTCTTTTTTCATTTATAAACATCAGGGCAAAGACATATTTTTATTTTCATATTATGATTTTTTTCTCTAAGGTTGGAGTTATGGAACTATAAGGGAGACCATAACTTGCATTATAAGATTGTTATAGAAGTTTTTTTTTTTTTCGTTGGTTTTCTTATGATGGTTAATTCATGTTCTGAATTTGTCGATGCTGTCTTCATGATCTCCATACTATTTGAGGATCTTTAGGGTTATTTTATGCTGTTGGAAGAGAACATTTCTGTTGCATCAACCTGATTCTTTGGTCGTGAATCGGAGATGGTAGATGTGTTTTATCTGTTTCTAATTGGTGTTTTTCTCTATTTCTTCTAGCGCATTAGGACAGGAATCTTATTGCTTTCACTAGATGAGATGGAGAATTTTGTAGCAACTTTTTTTTTTAATTTCTTGTTGATTGGATTTCTAAATGGATCCTTAGTCTTAGCAAAACCTACAACTTTGCCTTGATGCAACATATGATCAGTTTCCGTAACTTTGCCTTGATGGTAGGTTTAAAGCTCGAAGTAATTGTTATTGATGTTCTATGCTGCTAATTTAAGTTACTTCTGCTGCAGGTAGATCTGAATTTCATCATCTATCCCCACACATTTCTCATTTGAAACATTAAAGTTCAAGGTATTTTCCCTGCCTGTCAAGGTTCAGGTGTTTGATGATCATCCTTTTTTTCATCTATGATATTTTGATGATCATCCTTTTTTCATTAGAGAGATGTTTGGAGGCGATAATGGCAATCCAGTCTTTCCTGTTTTCCTCGAGGAAAACCGGTTTCAGTATGATTCTAATGCCTCAACTCAGCTGCAGTTATTTGGAAATTGTGAGTTACTTTGAGAACAATTTGCTCTATCATTTTACATTTTCTAACTGTATCCTGTTGCACAAGCAAATAGTATTTGTTTCATTTGAATTTTCTGACAATATACAGTATGCAATTTTCTTGGTAGGGCCTCTCATTCAAATCATTGTATCCTTTTGGAGTTCCTTTTTTCTTTAGTTTTCTTTGTTAGTCCCACTGTGCGTGTTGATTGTCCTTATTGAACCATTACCCATTTGCTATACATTTTAGTGATGCAGGGTAGAAGGAATCTATCTGCCCTGGTGGTGTTGTACATTTAAATACTGGGATTGAGTTCAAATTTATTTTGGTTATGCCTTCAAATTTATCACGTACCCTCTTCACCATTGATCACTTGTCTAGTTTACTGACATCTTCTAGATTCTTTTGGTTTTGCTGAAGTTAGATCTATATTGTCTGTATGTCAGTCATTGGTTTTATTAGTTACTTTCCAGGGTTAAGTTGCTTTTGATTTCACATATTAATTTCTGTACCTTCTATTTCATATCATTAAGTGGTGATACATATGCTGTATCTGAATGCTTATCTATTCCTTGGCATTTGTGTTATTCTTTAATTTTTTTATCTTTTCTGTTTCTATTTAATTTATTTGTATCTTGAAATGAAGTTTAGGAGATCTCCACTTCAAAGATGCCTGATAATTCATTCTGTTTTTTTTCCCTCTTTTTAACATTTTAATTGATATCTTATGGTATAGTTTAGGATGATGTTCACTTACTAGTTTTCTAAGCCAGCGTTCTGTCCCCTACGTGTAAGATAAAAAAGATGAAAATTTCAGGGAAATCACAGGATAATGTCCAAGCTAATCTTGAGAATGTTTCTTTAATACCTATTTGCAAAGAAAATCTCATAGCTAGTATCACTTTAAATACAAGTATGCCAAGGGATGGAGTGAAAAACAGAGAGATATCGTTGGTTTTTTATATTTCTTTCACTGTGCTTTTTATGGAATTTTATCTTTTTATTTTTGGAGTTTGATTTTACAACATTTATGTATGTGTTTATTAGTTTAAGTTACTATTATTATACATTTATTCTCCTTTTTCCACTTTGTGGTTGCACTACTCTGCTTGTGTTTAATTGCTTTATGGTTGGGCTGATCTTTTAAGCAACTGTCAATCTGTCATTCATGTACAGTACCAGCTGGTTGCAGTGTTGATCCAGTGAATTATGTGGGAAATGAGCATGTCTCTGCCATGAACCGGCCAACAAAAAGGAGCAGGGAAACAGAAGATATTCTGAAGCAGCAAAGGCTCCAAATCTCCTTGAATACTAATTTTTGTCAAGATGAGGTTGACCGATCACCAAGTGTTCCTAACCTGAATCTTGTTTCAACTGGACTGAGGCTGTCATATGATGATGATGAACGCAACTCCTCTGTTACTTCTGCAAGTGGAAGCATGGCAGCAGCCCTTCCTGTCATTCTGTCCCTTGGGGACAGCCTAAGGACTGAGATTGATCGGCAGAAGGAAGAGTTTGACCATTATATCAGAGTTCAGGTACTAAAAATACTCCTTAAGAAGGGAAAATCTATGATACTGGAAAGACACCGTACCAAAAGAGCTTTGACCAATGAAAGCACCCCATGAATTTTGATGAATACCACCTGATTGGTCACCTCTTTTATGATACAAGTTGATTGGGTGTAGGTTTTTCCGTATCATATTTGAATCCCCTGAAGAAACACATGGGAAAGAAAAAATAAGCCATTATATGCATTTCACCTAGGTCAAAAGAAAGTTGTAAGTTGCAATTATCTAATTTAATGTGCATCCTTTTGTTGATCAATGAACATAATGGCAGAAGGCCAGGAAGAAGTCTGTTGACTGGCAAATATGCTCATACGGTTAGGTTGATTTGGCCTATGTGATCTGTGGATCAAAGGTTCAAAGTATTGGGTGTATCGTATTGTATCGGCTGGTCTCTGAAACCCCAAATAAGGGGCTTTTGGATTTTGAGGTGTTTCAGGGGGTAGACAATGCTGAAACAACTCCTGAAGCAATTTTGAAAAAAAAACTAAAAAAAAGTTATTGAGCATCGAAACAGCTAATATGCCTGTTTGTGTGTATCGGTTGAATAGATACTTTGAACCTCGTGTGGATCTGCCTGTATTTATGTGGATGTTGGTGAATGTTATGTGTGCAACAGGTGCGATGGTTCAAAAGTTAGAGATGGAGAAGAATATGCTGCATGTTACAATTTTTCATTTATAGGCTGTCTATACAATGTACCACTATTTTTTTTTTATATATTTTTTCCATCCCCAAACTTTGTACCACTACATAGTGTACAGAAAAATAAAATAGTAAATTCTTGGTGATTGATTGATGGATTTCTTTTTATTAAACAGGAAGAACACATTGCAAAGGGAGTGAGGGAGATGAAGCAAAGACACATGGCCTCTTTCCTAAATGCCATAGAGAAAGGAGTTGGGAGGAAGCTACGAGAGAAAGAGCTTGAGATAGAGAACATGAATAGGAAGAACAGGGAACTGCTTGAGAGAATAAAGCAGGTAGCAGTGGAAGCCCAGTCATGGCACTACCGAGCCAAGTACAACGAATCAGTGGTCAACGTCTTGAAAAACAATCTCAAACAGGCCATTGCACAGGGTGCTGACCAAGGAAAAGAAGGCTGTGGAGACAGTGAAGTAGATGATGCAGCATCCTCTTACATTGATCAGAACAACCGCATGAGCTTTCCAGGTGGGTCTGGGACTAGCCACCAAGCACTGAAGGAGCAGATGACTTGCAAAGCGTGCAAAAGTAAGGAGGTTTCCATACTGTTATTGCCTTGTAGGCATCTGTGCTTGTGTATGGACTGCGAGGGGTTTATTGATGTATGCCCTGTTTGCCAGTCGATGAAGACTGCGAGTGTTCAGGTATACATGTCCTGATTCCCGGGAACCCAAGTATATGGAATCCCAAAGTTAATCATACTCCCCAAAGCTTAAAAATTTGAGTGTTGCATTGCATCCTGGAGATGTGAGGAACGTTCAGAGAATAGTAAACCTTAATGAATGAGTTGTGGTGATTTATTCCTTTGTCCCAATATTCTTTTTCTTGCTGATACCTGGTAGTGGTAGATACTTATAGATAGCCGATGTCTTTCATCTTCGTTAGAGCAGTATTGGAAGAAATGACTAGTAAGAACAGTCAATCAATCATGCTTGATTGCTTGCTGCTGTGGGAGTGCTTGTTACATGTAAAGTAAAATATCAGTGCAACAATTGCAGTGATATTGCTGCTTGTGCGTGGCAGAGAATATGCTTTATACGCTGTACGTGGGACCATGTCACTAACAAGTATCAAGTAACAAACTCGTAACTCTTGGGCCTTTTAATATGAATATTATTATGATTTATGAGTTCTAACTTCTAAGTTCTAGCAAAAGGGATAAGGGGTACAGGTGCACCTCTCTAATGAAAAGACAAAAAGGAACTTCTGTACCTTCTATTACAGTTTCCCCTATTTTTTATCCATATATTCTGTAGATTGGACAAAAAAATTTCGCTCGTTGAATGCCCTTCCGAGTTCCGACTACCAAGTCCATTCACGGAGAGAATATAAAACTAGAGATGAATCTTTCTGCCATACGGGGACGGGGGATGCCTGATGTGACCAAATAAACCCTTCCCCATGTTTGCATGATGCTACCCACATCGTTGTGGGTAGCAGGTCCGAACCCTTTACCGTTTTGGTCGGATTAAATGGTTAGGGTTAGCTGCTTTGAGATGATAAATTTGGAGAATGGGGGCCTCAATCGGGTTTCAGGTCAGGGTCGGTATTCGGTCAGGTCGATTGGATTAATTTCGGTTTAGGTTCGGATGAGATAGGGAGAGCCATGCTGAACCTAATCCATGCTGTATTTGGTTTGAATGTTTGATAAAAAATAGGGATATCTTCTAAAATTCACCATGACTTTTTAGCCCAATTCCGTGAGTTTTATTGTCCAAAATTCCTTTTCTGTTAGATCAATGTTAGTAATCATTAAAAGAAGCTGTCTATGTAAGCATTCAAATATTTTACATCATCAAATTACCCCTAAATGATCAATCAACTTTGTTGAGTATTACATGACAAAACTACTCTTGAATGGTAACTGATGAGGGCAGATTTGGCCCTCCAGTGAAGTTGCGACACGTGGCACCTCGTGACAACTAGGCAAGCCCCCAGGCAACAACTTGCCAAGTTGGT